CTAATTACTGCTAGGTAAATAGGCATGCGGAGTAAGGAAAGTTACTCAACATTTCGCTTTCCCCGAGACTCGAACCCAGGTCCTCTCGTTTGCGAGGCAAGTGCTCTAACCACTAAGCTATAGGACTCCTAAAGTAGGGCTTGATCCCACAATCTATCATCATTATCTGCTGACTCTGGATGGCGGTGGTTGGATAGTAAGTTAGTTTGTATTTTGTGTGAAATAAAAGCAGAAGTTGCTGGGTACACTCAGCAGGTCAGGCAGTTATCTAGAGAGGAAAATGGGTTAACGTTTCAGGTCAATGACCTTTCATCAGAAGTGGGGGAATTTGGAAGGGAGCAGTTTATAAGGACTCGACCCGAAACGTTAACCCACTTTCCTCTCTCCAAAGATGCTGCCTGACCTGCTGAGTGCCTCTATTTCGGATTTCCAGCATCTGCAGTATTCTGTGTTTGTTGTGAGTTTGTTTTTGTGAGGCTGCAAGTCGGAATTAGTTTGGTCGCTGCGTGCTTTTCCGATCCGCTCATCGAGGAACGTGTTGTGTACTTTATAACTCATCTGGTCCCTGTTATTTTTGGAGAGTTTCTGTTGAATCAAATTAGCTCCAGATTTTTGGACTGTAATCCGTTTCAATTTGGAAATATTTCAGAATATTGTCATTTCAGTCTTTTAGGGACACCATCCACACTGAAAAGTCTTCTGCCTAGATTTCCACCAAGTTTTGTAAACTTGTCATCCCACTGTTTTTAACATTAAGATCATGAAGATGGAATTAAAACATACTTGTTTTTCGTGAAAATCTTTTCATTTTCAAAATGTCCTTCTGCTTTAGTGCATCTAAAACTAGAATTGTATGATTTTAATTATCAGGAGAATTATCGTTCATATCTCTTGGCTGTAGTATACCAAATATGGAATATTTTTCAGCACATTAGCAAATATGTTCCTCATGTTGTGAGCTTTGCATCTTTTGCATATTTACATTGATTTCTGTTTACATTCCCATCATGAGCAGCTCTGGTTAAAATATTCAAACCATTTTATTTCAAAACTGAACCTGAATGTGCATCTGAACTTTTCCAAAGAAAACACAGAATTGCTTTTGCATTATTTAAAAAAAACTCTTCTGATAATAAACATCAAAATGTCTCCAAGCACTTTGCAGATGAATCGCTTTCAAGTGTAGTGACTGCTTTTATAGGCACTTACAGCAGTCAGGATATGCACAACGAGGTTCTAATAATTCTAATAATATATTCCTTGTATTTTGATACAGTGCCTTATTTTGTTGAGACATTTCAAAGTGGTTCACAGGATATACTGTAAAGTGAATTGATTGTATATTTTGTGCATGAGACCCACCAGCGAATTGCGCACAGCAGTGTCCCGCAAACAGTTGTGCATTGAACGACTGGATTATTATTATTAAGACCTTAATATCCATCATACTAGAGAACCATCGCAAAAGAGAAACTGTTGTGAAAATTCATCCAATCTGATTCCACATCACACGAGATGAATGACTGTCTATTCTGGGCGAACATGAGCAGGAACACCCTTCTGTTTTCCAATCGTGTCACAGGATCTTTAATGCACACCTGGAGAAAAGACAGACCTCGGTTTGAAATCTCATCCGAATTGCGGTACGTCTGACAGTGTGGCACTCCTCTAACTCCCTTCGTACCGCACTGGAGTATCATCTTAGACTATGGAATTGTTGCAATGAAAGAATCATTCCTTTTAAAAAAAATCTTTCACACTTTTTTTTGTTGCCGTTTTATTTCTTTGCCTTTTAAGTGCTCCGGGAGGTGTGACTCAAATGAATGCTATTGCTTTCTTACCCAACCTCGTCTTCTGGGCTGGTTCAAAAATTCCAAATCTATGAAAAAATGTCAGTCAATGGCTTTTCTACAGGCATACGTATTAGGACATGTCTTGCTTGTGTAGTTATCTTAACTCTAATGCCGATGTGTCGCTGATCAATCAGCCCGTGAAACTTGGTGATCAATTGCAAGACAACTCAAGTCGATGTGTGGCAGTGAGAGAGGTTTTAGGCGACGTGTAAAAGTTATATTTATTCTACATGAACAAACCAAAAGGTGAGTGTGTTTGATGATAATAAAAATAAATGAGAGTTGGATAGATATTTAAGGAAGAAATGGATTGAGCTATGAGAGGGAGAGGGTGTAGGAATGTTTATTTTTTACTCTGTGATAGTCTTTTCTGGTCCTGTTTTCCATCTTGCTATCTTACTAAAAATAACCTTGTTTGTTTGAAAAATCACTTAGGTTCTTTTTTTTAAAAAAGTGTTCCATAATGTAGACCTTTTTTGAAGTTAGTAAAATCAACACAGTTTACGTGGAATAAAAACAGAAGTTGCTGATACACTCAGTGGGTCAGGAGAGAGGAACGTGAGTTAATGTTTCAGGTCAGTGACGTTTCATCAGAACAGTTTATGTAGTATCAGACAGTACCAATCGTTGGATTCTCAAGGGTACTTGGACCTTGTTGGTGAACCGCAATGATTTTACCACAAGCATTGCTGTTTCAGACGTCTCAAAAATGTGATAAAGCACAATATCAAATGCAAGTATTATTAGTATTAGTTTGCTTTTTATTTATTCCTGCCCACTATTTTCTTTTTTTCTGACGACTGTGACTAATTTGAAAGTCTGTTTGTGGCCTTGCTACGCTGGGATGGTCTGAAGCCTAACATGGGGCAATGTTGGAAAGATAGACGATGGAATTAGGACCAGACGTACTGTAGATTGCTCTGTTGAGCTTCATTCTGATTCTGAATTCTCAAATTGGAAATGTGGCATTGTAATGCAATGTATCTTAGGAGAGTTCCTCAGCTAATGCTCTGTGACTAAAGGTCACATTGAGTTGTAGGTGATTTTTCTCCCCTGTATTGCTGATTTATAGATATTTAAGTTGTTTCTATGTGTAATTTGATGCACACGGTCATACAGATTAAAAGTGATTTCTCATTCATTTGAAGCATTGTCTAAATTGTAATACATGTCCTAATCTGTATTAATAGTTAATTAACGGGTATCTTTAAAATAGTTCATTACTGACCGTATTTACCACTCTGAAGAATATGTGTTTAGTGTGGAGTTGTGACCTAAGTTTTTAGATGAATTTCATTCAACCATATGTAATATCAATTAAAGCATAACTTCACACCTATACTTCTCGGTGGGAGTCCGAAACTCCCAATAATAATAATAATAATAATCCTTGCATTTGATATAGCGCTTTTCACGTCGGGAGGACGTCCCAAAGCGCTTCACAGAACACACTGTAAAGTGAATTGACTGTATATTTGTGGGCGAACGCGGCAGCCAAGATTGCTATACACACCTTATGTTTGCAGACTAACACTTTCCACTACAGTTTGGGTCAATTTTTCTCTCCTTGGGTTGAAGTAGCCAGTTCCGAGATATCTGTGGTGGGGAAGGGAATGTTGTGTTTGACTAATTATTTTCACATATTAGTTGTGCTGCATAATGGCATCTACAGAGAGTCTGAATCATTACTGTTCGGTCACTGAGTTTATTTTAATGTTACCCTGGCACTGAAATGTAATCTGTACTTTAGCCCTTTGCTTGTTGCAGTGTGTGTGTGACCTTCATGTAGAACAGAGATACGACGCTTAGGTGGCATTTATATCCCCTTTACTTAGTGCCCTTTCTTCAGTAGTTTATAGAAAGGAATCTGGCTGCGTGTTCCATGTGAGTGGTTTAGACAGTCAAAGCTTTGTTAACCTATCAGCCTCTCGCTTGTTGCTATAGTATTTGAATTGATTGACGTGGAGAATACGTATCAGAGACTCGGACTTTACAGAAATTAACCCATTTAGTGTTTTAACTCATTCACATGTTGTACATGAAGCAGTTTGGAACCCCTTTCAAGGTATGTTTACTGATCTAACTGGAACGCAGTAGATTGTGTGGCTGAATTATGTGGATTTGTACTTTTTGATCGTTGTTTCAAGATGATTTTATTTCCTTTTCTGAGCACTACACACCATTCCCCAGTGGTAAGAATAGGCAGGTAACCTTTTCCCTATTCTCTGTCAATGGTAGTGGCTGCTAGGACTGTCTCGTTCGACTCTCTCTCACAACATACACATGCTTCTATCTGCAATATATTAAATTGCTGATGTACATAGATCATTGTATTGAACCTGTCATTATCATTGGGATTTTTAATGGGGTGACAAAAACACGTTCTGCTGACTTGCAGGAACTTTACTCCATTACAGTCTTATTTTTTGAGCAGACTTCCCGTGGGTCAGTGTGGCCTGCGTGACAGATTTCTGATTACCGGAAGGAGTTCCCTCTTGGAATTAAGAAATCCCATTAGAAGTAGTCACACATTTTAGACGCGTAACATTCCAGTGTTGCATAGAAACAGAGTAGGCCATTCAGTCCCTCCAGCCTGATCATGGGTGATCTGTACTCAAATCCAATTACCTGCCCTTGCCCTGTATCCCTTAATTACCTGACCTAACAAATATTGTGCGTATTTGACTTGTTAGCTGTTGTTCCAAATCAAATACATGCAAAGTTCCTTCCAAGAAGAAATATTAATGTTCAAAGGTTTCTGACAACAAACTTGACCTATTCCATTGATCCACAGGAATTTTACATCAGACATTTCACTCTTTGTTAGAGGACCTTCTTATGGTGATAGTAGAACAAGTGTTTCTGAAGCCATTGTGTGTTGTTTCTTTCCACTTGTCGGGCTTTCAAGATTGAAGAAAGGTTCTTTTTATCATTCTCTTTGAATGTGGCATTTATTCAATTTTTGTACTCTAGTACAATAATTCCTTCGGGAGTTCAATACAATGAGAGACTCGTTTGAAGTCCCAATTTACAATCTATGACAGATAAAGGGCAATATAGATTTACACCAAGCGCAAGGTAGTTTTTCTTGATAACCGCAGTGTACACAGTATCTCACAGACTTCCTCTTTTTTCCATCCCCTTTAGGTCACGGAAGACTGGATGTTTTTTGAAACCTCTTTTGTCGGTGGAGTAGAGATTACATTGCAGCGAACGTTTTAAAGGGCAAAACGATACTAAAGGTGCCCGACCGTGACTCGCGGCCATGGAGATGGGTATGCGTGTTGTGCGTGGCGTGGACTGGAAGTGGAACAACCAGGACGATGGAGAAGGGCATGTCGGTACAGTGGTGGAGATTGGCCGTCAAGGGAGCCTCACGACGCCAGATAAAACTGTGGTGGTGCAGTGGGACGGTGGCACCAGAACAAATTACCGGACCGGCTACCAAGGAGCTCATGACCTTCTTCTGTACGACAATGCACAGATTGGTGAGTTCCTCGCAGTGCAGCTCGACCTGTCGTCCGTCCCATTTCTTTTCCCCCCCTCACCAAAAGATATTCACCCTCTGTGTGCTAGTAACCAAGTCTGTTGAAGTTGTGTATATGATCATAATCATAATAATCCTTCTAATTGATATAGTGCCTTATCAGGTCTTCGAGTCTCAAAGCGCTTCGCGGAATATACTGTAAAGTGAATTGACTGTATATTTTGTGGGCGAAACGCGACAGCCAATTGCACACAGCGGCGTCCCACAAACAGTCATGGGAGTGACCAAATTTTTTTTGAGGGATTATTATCCTCGGAAAAGCGATCCAGCAATCGACTAACAACAAGAAGATTGCATTTGTTTAGCGCCTTTCATGTCGGGAGGACGTCCCAAGGGCTGTACACTACATGGATTATCTGTGGAGGGAGGAATTGGGAAGGCCGACAAGCAGGCGTTTGCATAGTCGAGCCTGGAGGTGAGGAAGACATGAACAAGAGTTTTAGCGGCCTGAGGGGTGAGGTAGTGGTGGAGTCGGTTCCTACTTACTGCTAGGTAATAAAATAAAAAGCTGGATAACTTAACAAAACTAATCCAAATATACCTCATTGCGGTAGGGTGAATGTATTTAAAATGCCTCGTTATATGAGAATTGTCACAAAAGACGAGATGCAAAGAAAACTTTCTTGGGACACAATGAAATGGGTTTAAAGCAAAAGTATCTATTGTGTTGTGGTAACACACCATCTTGGTATTGCTCTGTTGGAGCTGGTTAACGAATCATCTAAAATTCCCTCAGACATTGACTGAGACCGCAATCTACTCAGCTGTAAGCTACCATTAATCAATGCCCTGCAGAACTGACATCCATCTCATTAAACATTCATATGAACCATCTGAAAGGCTGAGCACGTTTTCTTTCTCTTTGTCAATTTTCTCCCTTCCTGCAGGCATTTTGACTTTCTTTTTCCTTTTTTACTGGGATAGAGTTATAAGTATGTTGGTCATCCTCATTCATCAACTTTACCATTATTCAGGTTTGAGCCTTTATACTGAGTGCTTGGCAGCTCGCCTATTGGAGCCACCCTCAGTCTCCTCTTCTCCCTATAAACCCAGGTGACCGAGACCAATTATAGCACCTGGTGTGACCTAACCCATCTAACCTCTTAAAAAGCAGGGATTGTGTCTGGGATCTTTCCTGTCTGAATGCCTCAGTTACTCACTGACCTGAGCCATTACTGTGGTTGGTCAATAAAATGAGTGAATTCTTCACTTACTTTGCTTCTAGTGCAAAATACCCCCATATAATTGTCTGTCTTGCAACATATTGTTGGGTGACTGATCACTCGTGGAATATGGTGTGCTGTTCACCTAATGTCAAAAATCACATAGAAGTTTTGGAAAGTGTGCAGGAGAGGAAGAAGGACAAATGCAGGTCATAGGAGACAGTGTTTATGAAGAAAGATCAGTCAACTAGGTTTATTTTCATTAAAGAAGGCTGAGGAGATGCGATACAGGTAAATAGAATAACGACAGGTGTAAGGATAATGAATAATATAATCAGGGATCAGGATATTTAACTTAGGTGTGGAGTGTGGGAATAGAGGTCATAAATGTAAAATCCATGACCTTTGAGGGAAACTGAAGTTTAGTAGAACACTGAGATGTCTCGATGTGATAAGGTGCTGCATCAAATGTAAGGACTATTTCATTGTTAACTTTCCTCCCAAAGACTGCGTGAAACTGACTCCCCGATGAAGTAGTTAATTCTGGGTCAATGGATGTGCTCAAAATGGGGCTGGATTAATATCTTTTGATAAAGGAGATCATGGGTGGACAGTAGGTTAGCCTGATGGCCTTTTAGTAGAGGAGTGTCAGGATATTGATTTGAAGGACCCAGTGAAAGAAAGAATCAATGATTGTTTAATAGTTGTGGAGGGAACGAGCTGAATGGCTGAAAGGTCCTTTCTTCTTCCAGGTTTATTTTCTACGTTTTCAAAGTTTTCCATAATTAAACTTCAAAGGGCCAGTTACCACCTACCAAATGGATAGTAATGATTAAAATCCATATAAAGCTCTTGATCTGTCATTCAGCTTTCTACTGCACCTATTTATATTTTTCAGCTGTCACTCGCTCGAGTCAGGTTTATTGCTGAGTTTATCACGCTGTCTAGCAGCCTGAGTTCAACTTACTCAGCATCAATCAGGACTCAAACCTTTTCCCACAAATGCATTAGATTATTTCGTAGTGAAATACCACGCTGAGCGTCTGACAGAATTTTAAAAATAATAATAGTAATTTGGTCACTCAATCCACGACTGTTTGTGGGAAACTGCTGTGCGCAATTGGCTGCTGCGTTTCGCCCCAAAATACACAGATTCAACACGTGGCAAGGGAAGGAAGAGTGCATATCATAGTACCCTGAAGTTGACTGCTCTTTCCTTTTTTTTGTGAGCAAATGATTATGCTATGATTTCAAATTGAAGGACAGACACTTAAATCAATCTCTAACCAGGAGAACATCACTTCTGAACCAAACCCATTCAACATACTTTGAAACGACTTGACAAATTTATACCTTCATTAAAATGTAAATGAAGGGGTAAAAGGAATGAATCTCCAAGTGTCTGGGTCCCTTCAGTCACTAGGATTTCAACGGCAGAGGCTCTAATGGGCAGTAATGGGGTCTCTCGTTTTCAAAAATGCTGCGAAATATTTATGAGGGGTTGAGAGGCATTGTGAATAAGTTCAATGCAATGTTTTTATACAATTTTAATATAGTGTTTTTGGCACATGTTTCCTACCTTTCCTGTACTGGGGAGTGAATCACCAAATGCAGCGTTGAAGGAAGTCAGGGAATAGATTGCCAAGCTGCTCAAGATTGCAAACACTGCACAGATCCCCAAGGAAAGCAAATGGGAGGAATGATCTAAAAGATGAACGTGTCCTCACAGATAAAAATCATCCTAAACCCAGAGAGCTTTGGCTCTTTCCTCTGTTCAACACACCAAGATTACAGACCCTACTGTTTGTGCAAATGCACACCGTAACATTGTGATTTATGCTTTTTCTTTGAGTCAGTTATGGGTTTCAGTTTCAATGTAAAACCTTTAAAGGTTTTACATTTTGGTTTCGGTAATTGTAATTGTAATTGTTCAAAGTTCTTTCCCTATTACGAACAGCCATTTACAAATGGTTCTGCATTTTTTTTTATTTCAATCTGTCCCGAGTACAGAGAACACTGATGAGTGGCTCTTTGAAAAGCAGTGGATGACATTGACTTGAAATTGGCAAGGAGAAAGGGGTTTCCTGTGGTTCAGTCTGATCAGACAATACTCTGTGCCCGAGGACACCGACTGAGCGAATTAAAGAATGGTCTCTGATCTGTGAAGCGTGTTGCTATTTCAAATCCGTCACAGATGGAGCTTTATTTGACCTTCAGCCTACAAACCCTCCTTTATTTAATGGAGACGAGGGGTGAGCCTTCACACTGATCATTTTAGGATAAACCTATTTTCAAAATAATCCTTGCATTTGATATAGCGCCTTATCACGTTGTTGAGACGCCTCAAAGTGCTTCACAGAATATACTGTAAAGTGAATTAACTGTGTATTTTGTGGGCGAAATGTGTTTCTTCTGACCCACAAGCTATTACGCAAATAAATGATCCCTAAACACATTGTTGATCGGTTGAGTCTGATGTGGCTATCAATGTGACCATTTTTTAAAAAAAAATCTTCGTTTCTAAACTTGTTCTATTAGAATATTTCTTTAAAATTAGCTGACTTGGTACTTAAATCAGTTGTATTTATCTTAGTGTGATTGGTATAGATTGTCAGGCCCTCACTATATAATTAGACAGTAAGATTTTGAATTAAAGTATCAGTAAAATCTGGGGTTTCTAACCTAAAAGATGACTTTGAAGATAGGTCTGCTTTTAGCCAGGAGTGTGAGTGATTTGCAGGCAGTCTATGTTGAAATGTGTTATCGTATTTGGCAAAATAGTGTATTGGTTCACTGGCTGCGTCCCAGATTTCTGACTGAGGTACTACTGGAGGTTTGTTTTACAGCTGAAAATTTCAATTCTTCTCTATCCGGAGTCCTGCAACTCAGTGGTTAGAGCTCATTGATCACACATAGAGCACAAACGAGAGAACCTGGGTTTGATTTCTGGGCAGGGCGAAACATTGGGTATGTTTCTTTACCCCACACGCCTCTGATTACCTAGCGGTAAGGAGAAACCCAGTTGTTAGTCGATTGGTGGATTGCATTTCCGAGGGTAAAATCGCATCAAAAAAAATAAAAATAATAACAAATTGGTCACTCAATCCACGGCTGTTTGTGGGACACTGCTGTGCTGAATTAGTTGCCACGGTTCGCCCACAAAGTATAGTCAATTCAGTTTACAGAATATTCTGTGAAGCGCTTTGAGATGCCTCGAAAATGTGATAAGGCGCTACATCAAATGCAAAGATTATTATTATTATTCCATAAATCTGAGTTGGACCTTTGAGAATGTCTTACCATATGGGAAATTGGCAGTTGGTTCAATCATGTGAGACACGCGCTACTGGATTTGTCATTTGTACAGAGATTGGCTAAATAGCTGATCGAGCACATGTTGCATTGAAATCATCCAGCAGGCAAGAAACCTTCAACTTGTATCAATGGTCGCTTGAGTGGATTCACATCTACCTTGTTGGCTAATGTTAAGCAAAAGGCACAGTCGACTGAATCTGCAGGGAAGCTCCAGTATTTGGAGTAATCTTTGTTGAAACCTTTTTTCAATCTGTTTCCTTAAGATGCCCTGCATTTTGCCAGATCGGTTCTGCAGTCGACCTAAAAGGAACTAAATAATCGCAGGATTTGTCTTGTCTTACTGTCGAGTGCCCTGTGTCGCTACACTGTGTGAGGGACGCTATTATAAATGCAAGTTGTTAAATTAGATATCGGAATCTAGCTGTTCATTATGTGTAAGCAGATGTTCTACAGCATGACAAAGGCACGTATGTCCACGATCACTTCAGCAACATTGACCAGCATCAGTGTTAATAGCACTAATAATAATCGTTCCATTTTATTTAGGGCCTATAGCTTTGAGACTATGTCAAAAAGCTTCCCAAGGTCGCTTACCACAATTGGTAACAGCAGGAATAGAGGCCAATCGGACCATCATGCGCTGCTGTGAGCTTTCTCCCACTGGAGCCATCAACTCTGACAGTTTCCTTGTTGGGTTCTCTGTCCTGCTCATTTGAAGCATTGAACTGGTTTTATAAAGTAAAGCGCGTGGGTCCTGACGTGTCTCTCACGGTGGCGTTTGTGTGTTGTGTTTCCAGGTGTGCGCCACCCCAACATAATCTGCGATTGTTGCAAGAAACACGGCATCATGGGGATGCGATGGAAATGCAAAGTTTGCTTTGACTACGATCTGTGCACACAGTGCTACATGAACAACAAGCACGATCTCGCCCATTCGTTCGAACGCTACGAGACTGCACATTCACAGGCGTGAGTTATCTGTTTCCTACCTGCCACAGTATTGAGTCATTCGGATTTCAGTTGTCGCACGCTTTAGGAGTGAAGACTCGTGTGGAGTATAAACACATAGTTGGGCAGAGTGGCCAGGTTCCTTGCTGCAGCAGTCTAATTTTATATAAGGATGCTACCTAATGCAATAATTGTGTATTGGCATCTGTAGCAACCACTTGTGTTCACAATACATAGTGAAATGAACTACAGTACTTCATAGTGAAAGTAAGGGTACACATGAAAATACATAATTATTACAATCTATAGCATAAATGTCTAGTTTCTCAGCAGCCTTTAGTTACTTAATGTGATCTTATTCACTAGTAGCTGCTGTAACTACTTCCTTGGCCCAACACCACACTTCACGTACAACACAGCATTTTTCAGGTTCTCTGCCACATGCATTTAACAGAAAACAGAAATCAAGTCAATTGGATGTAAGATCTGCCATGATCTAATAAACTGTCAAAAGAGACGCAGTCAGCCACATGGCCTCCTCCCCTTTCCCAAATCCACCATGTTGTGTGGCTTTTCTAAACAAGACTGCCAATTTGTGGTTCATTATGGTATGTTTGGTGGTGTGCATTCATTGCCCAACGTCCGTCCCTTCATTTGAGATCCTTACGGTCTCAACAAGAGAAAACGAGGAGATATTTGCAGTATAGGTCCAGGCACAGTTGGCTGCCGTGTTTCGCCCACAAAATGTACAGTCAATTCACTTTACAGAATATCCTGTGAAGTGCTCGAAGACATGATAAATGCAAGGATTATTATTATTATAATTAAATCTAGAGCTCAGAAACGAAGGACCATGGGGTAAGCCCATTGGGTCACTCGTTTTCTTGTACCACTCTTTGGTTCTCTATTTGAGATAAGTTTGTTCAGCGTACTGCAATTCAAAAACACCTATTGTCTGTGATCTGGCTAGGCTTCTTTCAGAATGAATCATCCATTCTTTTACATAAAATTTTGCATTTCAGTGATTCAATTCCCCTCCAGCTAAATATTTTAGAAGCTTCCTCCAATCCCTCAGGCATTTGTGTGGGAAGCCCTGACAAAGAGGGAGAGGAGATTGCTTGTACTGGCTCTTTCTCAATACTTGTTTTTTCACAAGAAGCGTGTGGGTTGATATTTTTATTTTTTTCTACCTGTGCTCTGGGGGTGGGAGGGGAGGGGTGGGGGCGTTGTGGGGGGGCGGTCATGGCTGAAATTGACTATTTTCTACCAGGAATCTGAGTGGGAAGGGAATACCTATGTCTAAACATCCCATTAGACAGCATGTTGGCAACTCACTCACATATATTCTATAAAAATAATCCTTGCATTTGATATAGCACCTTATCATGTCATTGAGACATCTCAAAGCGCTTCACAGAACACACTTTAAAGTGAATTGACTATACATTTTATGGGCGAAACGCGGCAGCCAATTGGGCATAATTATGACTTATTAATGGCCGGGCGATGCTTCAGTGCTACTGGCCTGCTGTGATTTTTAGGCCACTTGTGTTTTCCCACTTAAACCTGACCATAACTTGGAAAATGCTTGAAACTATTTTGACGCCACAATATATTAACCGTGAAGGAAAGTTGTTAGTACAAAAATGCAGCTTACGCCTGCTCCTGGCAGCCTGTTCATGCGTGGGATAATCTCGTTTTGGCAGCACGTATTGNTTTTTTTGCCTATGAAGCTGACTTCAAATACAGTAATTGTATTGAAAGGCCAGAAATTGTATAGAGTTGTGGTTAATAAGTCGACTTTAGTCGTGTGAACAACAAGCGTCTAAAGTCTACAAGCTCAAAGTAAGAATAACTAGTCGTCGATTGTGCTGAGCAAACCGCTTTGGTTTGATGCATTTCTGTAGAGCCGGTGGGAGAGTGTTGAGAGGGGGAAAAAGGACACCTTTTGGTCTCTCTTTGAGCAAGAACAAAATCCCACTGCATTTCAAGCTTGTAGCGTGCAAGATGCGTTAAACCATTCTCCTTCATGGCCTGGAGAATGTTCTGACATAAGGTCATCGATAAGAACTCCTAAGTGACTTCATGGTTTGGCAACCATCAGCTAATTGGCTCTTCCACAAGCCAACCCCACCCAGGATAGAACAGCATCAACAAAATAGATATTTCCTGTGTGATGCCTTAAGCATTTTCCGTTTTTATTTGCTGGAACAGCGTGAAATGGCAATAACCATCCAGCTCTTTCCCCTGCTCCCTCCCACTTCCTGACTGCAGGAAACACAGCCTGTTAATAGAAATCCCCGTAACATGACAGAACTGATAAATTGCTGCCTATGTGGTGCTCTAGGTTACGGCAGAGTGTCAGCCTCTGCTGGGAGTTGAGTGCAAAACCACAGGATGCAAATCATATGCGTTACATATTATTACTATTCTGTCTTAACCTACAACACATCCATGAGGAAAAATTAGTTAAGTAACGAAGGGAGAGAAAATTTCCTGTAGCAGTTTTCTTTTCTGAGAAAGACTCCGTCTGCTCCTAGTAGCTATAAATTAAAAATTGGATATTAGGTTTAATAATAATCTTGCATTTGATATAGCGCCTTATCACGTCTGCGAGACCTCTCAAAGAGCTTCACAGGATAGACTGTAAAATGAATTGATTGTATATTTGCGGGTGAAACGTGGCAGCCGATTGTGCACAGCAGTGTCCCACAAACAGTGGTGGATTGAGTGACCAAAATATTATTATTATTTTTCTTTGAAGGAATTGAAGGAATTATTACCCTGGAAAAGCGGTCCACCAATCAAATAACAAGCAGGTTCCTACTTACTGCTAGGTAAACTAAGGCGTGTGGAGTAAGGAAACTTGCTCTGCCACCGTATTCTTATTTAGGTTTCCTAAATAAGTCATCTTCCAGCGCCACCTTGAAGGTCTTCCTTTTTCCTCCTGAAGTGTTGTAATCCAATACATCCCTTATTCGCTGTTCAGTCTGCCCACCGCTGAATTTACTTTCAGAAAAGAACATGCGACTTTCGCCCTTTTCCTTGGAAGTGTGGTTTTCTGCTCCACCACTTAAAATGGGATTGCCGTCCTTCAGTGGTCAAAGGATTTCAATTTGCTCTCGCATGTCTTCTTCGCATACTGCACACCATTGCGTACATCATTGATGGAATAACCCAAAACAGTGAACTTTTTTGGTCATCCGGGTGTCTGGCACCAAGCTGAAATTTCCATGCATCCCACTGACACATGCAAATCCCAGAGATAGATTGTTGGAATGGAATGTGAATTCTGCTCACTTCATTCTCGAAAGTATCGGGTGCAGGTTGGCCCGAGCCAAGGCTTGGGGACCCCAGTGTGTGTGTGTAAGTTTGGTCTTTGGTGATGTTTTCATCTTTGTTTGTGAAATTCCTTGCTATTGCAATTCTGTGACTGTTTAAGGTCTTGCTTGTCAATGGATGAAGGCCTGAGGGCAACTCTGTTTCCTATTTGAACCATAATTGCCTGTTGCGCATTTTCTTTTGTGATTGTTGTGATCTATCTTCCTCCATTCTCCTTCTGTCTATCGTTTTTCTGTCTCGTTCTTTCTGTCTCCTATCTCTTTGTCTCGCTCTTTCTTTGTCTCATTCACTTGCTCTTAGCATTCTGTCTCGTTTGTTTCCCCTCACTCTTTCTCTCATCTCCTCCACCCATCAAACATCCACAACCGTACTGAGTGCTGTAAAGTCTAGCATTGCAAAGGCCTGAGGGTGAACTCCGTATCAGACAACCACTGTACTATTGTAGTATGGGAGTGTCTGATACCCAAACAAGTGTTTGAGGGTCTATACTGGATATGAGGATTTGCAACCCTTTCAGCAGAGGCTGTGGCAACAGATGTAAGTGAGGCATAACCTCTTCTTGATTGAAGAATTAATAATTCATGTTGCTTTGATCTGGAGTCCTGTAGCTTAGTGGTTAGAGCACTCTTTTCGCAAGCGAGAGGATGTGGGTTCGATTCTCAGGCCGGCAGGGTGAAACATTGGGCAAGTATCATTACTCCACACGCCTGTTACCTAGCAGTAAGTAGGAACCTGATTGTTAGTCGATTGTCGGACGGCTTTTCTGGGGGTAATAACGCTTTCAAAAATATAAATAGACAAATAATAATAATAATTTGGTCACTCAATCCACAACTGTTTTGGGACACTGCTGTGCGCATTTGCTGTGCGCATTCGCCTGCCATGTTTCGCCCATGATATATACAATCAATTCACTTTATAGTATAATCTGTGAAGTGCTTTGAGACACCTCGATAAGGCGCTATAAAAAATGCAAGGATTATTATTATTTATGTAAGTAACTAGCTGTAAATTGGAGCCGGTATTGTGGTTAGCTTATCTCTCGTGCCTCCCTATAATGATCACATTGTTCTGATTGTAAACGATATACTGTATTCATATCAATACTTTAACGAACAAAGATTTTCTTGGAAATATCATGGTTTTGCGATGACTGTCAGCCTTTTTTCCCTCCCCTTCAACACGATAGATACTGCTTTTCTGTCTCGAAGGGAATTGTGCATCCAATTTGAATACGATTGTAGCTGCTGGGCCTGAAATGGATTTGTGTTTTAATCATTTTTTTTGTCTTGCTTGAATGCCCTAGAGCTGTCAGTGTTTCTTCTGTTTTCTCTCCCCTGACAGCCTGCCTGCCTGCCTGCCTGTCGAACATAGACAGTGCAACTTGTCTTCCGTAATCTTGCCACTCCTCATTGTCAGCAGATGTGTCAAAGAGGCTAATTTTGTCGCTTCGATATATTACTTAAATAACTTCTCTTTTTTCAAGTGTTTGGCAATAATTGGGAAAGATGTGTAGTCCTGTAACTTACTGGTTAGAGGATTTGCCTCGCAAGTGAGAGGGCCCGGGTTTGATTTCCAGGCAGTTTTCTTACATCACACATCTCTGTTTCCTAACAGTAAGTAGGAACCCGGTTGTTAGTCGATTGGCGGATCGCTTTTCCGGGGTAATAATCCCTTCG